AGGTTGGCAAGCAAGCAGGAAAAGCTGAGAACCGGCTGTCCAGGGGGGTCCCTTTAAGCACGAGCCTCAGATAGCCTCAGACAGCAGCCACACAACGCAACTACTGACCTGATGCCCTGCCAGAACCGGTTTCAGCCGCCCTTAAATGCACCCAATCAGTGTGGACGCGCTAGTTTGAATTAGCAAAACGCTAATTCGAACTAGTTTTTAGTTCTAGATGCGTTAGTTCGAATTAGCTTAGTTCGAATTAATTAATTCGAACTAAGTTAGTTCGAATTAGCGCTGTAGTGCAGACATACCCTAAGGTACTACCTCCTGGGAGACTCTTTTATTCTTTTTACTGACCACGCTACCCTAAAATGGCTCCACCGAATGTGTGATACCAACAGCCACATCATGGACCGGTACCTGTCCCTCCAACCATATGTGTTTACGTTGGAACACCAAGCAGGAAAGGACAACGCAAATGCTGATGCATTGTCCCGCATTGAGGAAGAGCAAAGGCACAGTCCCGGGAGGTGGGAACTGGACTTAAGGAGGATGGGGGGTGTAGTGGGGCGGCATGGCCGCCCACTGAGCAGGAGGCAGAGGAACCCCTCCAGGAGCCATTTTGGTCCCAGCCTAACCCCTCCCACTCACCTGACAGGAAGCCAAGGGGTGTGGCTAGGGCTATAAGAACCCTGACAGGGAGCTCAGTCGGGGCCCAGCCTTTGCAGGAGACAGAGGCCTGCCCAGAGCTCCCTGCCAAGCAGGCTGAGACCTGGCTTGGGCCTCCCACTGCCTCCTTCCAAGAGGCTGGCGAAGACCTCCCTGACTGGGAGACAGAGACCTGGCTAAACCCGCCAACAGGCCTGCCCTCTGACCCAGAGGAACCAGAGACCTGCCCCATGCTCCCTGTTGGGGAGACTGGGACATGGCCCAGGCCTCCGAGGGTGATCTGGAGGATCTGCCTGAATACTGACACCCACCTGTACCTGGGACCCAGAGGACGCGCCAGACCCGCAGACCAACCAGACCCCGAGGACCAGCCTGGACACCCCTGCTCACTGCAGCCCACCTACCAGCTGGAGACCCAGGACCTGCAAGCAGCGAAGGCTTGGATTGGGCCGCCAAGATCCTGCTGGGACGACAGCACCCTCTACTCCCCGAGTGACCTGCTACAGACTCAGGAACCCGCTGAGGGGGAGACAGGATGTGGCAAGGGTGTTAAAAGCCCTGGCCCAGCCTGCTGCAGGCTGGAGCCCCCACTGAGCCAGCAGCAGCTGCACTGCTGCATCCAGGGCCCTGGGCTGGGGCGCAGTGGAGTGGGTGGGCCTGCGTGCCCTCTGCCACCCGCCTACCAGGTGGCAGTCTCCCCCTCACCACCTCAGCAAGCGATCCACTTGCCTCCCTCCTGATAAGGAGACCCCCAAACCTGTGTTGTGTTGGTTTCCATGCCCTGAATCAGGGCCTGACTTTACCCTTGAACTGAAACTGTGCGTGTTTGCTGCCGCCTGGGCCTCTTAAAGCTGCAGGTCTACTGCTGCTGCCCTGCCCTGAACCAGGGCCAGGGCCCTCCTAATTAAGAACTTTATTGCCCCTGCCTGAGACAGGCCGGGGCCTCTTGAACTTCTATTTAGGGTATTTGTTGCCCCACCCTGACCTAGGGCCAGGGCTCACTGGGTTATTTGATTCCCTGCCTGGAACAAGGCCGGGGCGCTTACACCGGTACCGCTGGGTTGTTTGTTTGTTGTTGCCTTGCCCTGACCTAGAGCCAGGCCTCACTAATGGTGTTTTGAACTCCTAACCTCTGGCCCAGACCTGAAGCAAGGCCGTGCCCTTGAACTCTTACCTTGGGCCTGGATCTGAAGTAAGGCCAGGCCCTTGAACTATTTGCCTCTTGCCCTGACATGCAGCAAGGCCAGGAGGTGGACCGTTTGCCTCCTACCCATCCTGAGTTAGCCCGGGCACTTGAACTATTGCCTCTCACCCATATATGAAGGAAGGCTGGGTTGTGGACTTACCGACTTGGGGACCTGGTTTACGTGCTTGTGTAGTGGGGCGGAGTGGCTGCCCACTGACCCGGAGGTGGAAGAACCCCTCCGGGAAGCCGAACTGGCTAGTCTCTTTGACCTCTCATGTTCACATCTCTACTGCCATAACTCTGGTGGCAGCAACAGCAGATGGTGGCATGTAGAAATGAACTTCCATCCTGCATGGTCCCTTGAAAGTTTTCCTTCAGCAAGAGTCAGTAGTGGAAGGATTAGGCTTCTGAAATCCCTCAACATTGCATCTCCAAATTCATTCACAGTCAGTACTGCAGCCTATTTCCTTCAACCTCAGCTCTATACAATTTCTTGTAAAAGTGTAGCTTCTGCACGATGGACATTACTCCACTTTTGCTATACAGCAGGCACTCAGGGTATGTCTACACTACAGCACTATTTCAAATTAACTTATTTCAAATTGGTTAATTCGAAATAAGCTAAATTGAAATTACGCATCTAGACACAAAAACTAATTCGAAATAGCGTTTTTCTAATTCAAAATAGTGCGTCCACATGGAGTGGACCCTGAATCGAAGGTAAGGCTGGCCGGAACCAGTGCCAAAAGGGCATCAGGGTCAGACTTAGTGTGGGGGGCTGCTGCCTCAGGCTAGCCGAGGTCTGTGCTTAAAGAGTCCCAAATCCCATCCCGGACAGACAGTTCTCAGATTTCTCTGCTTGATGGTCTTCCTCTCTGAGAGACAGCAAAGCATTTGTGTCTCGGAGTGCTCTGCTTGCACTCACTCGGGACATCACGGCACTCTGCAATATGGAACCAGACCTGCCCCTGGGGACACGTTTCCAACAGCCTGGCTGCACTGTCTGCAGGCTGCCATCCAGGAGCACCATCGAGGGGCTGTCAGGATCCAGGGGGCCCTGCAGGAGAGCTTCCACCATGAGCAGCTCTAACAGTCTCCCCGCTCTGCCCCACTGGGGGATTTTGCCCCATTCCTCCCTCTCGTCCTTCCACTTACCCTTCCCTAGCCCCCCATTCCTGATATCAAATAAAAGACATGTATTTTCATGAACACAATTTATTTCGAAATAGCGGTTTGTATGTGTAGACGCTATTAAAGTTAATTCAAAATAACGGCTGTTATTTCAAATTAACTTTGTAGTGTAGACATACCCTCAGATATTACAGTGATGAGCATGGGGAACAGAACAGAACAGAAGAGAATATCATGTGGAAAAATAACCAGGCCTCAATTAAACTTGAAGAGGAAAGGAGTGTGAAAGTAATGACCATTACCAATTGTCATTTTTCACCCCAGGATTAATAATGTCCAATGGACATAGCTGGAAACAACAAAGAAGATTTGCTTTATCAACTCTAAGGAACTTTGGCCTGGGGAAGAGGAGCTTAGAAGAACGCATACTGCAGGAGAGCAGATACCTCACAGAAGCATTTGAAGAAGAAAAAGGTGAGAATGAGAGAGTTCTATCAGAAATTGTAGCAATGAATGTGAAATAAGAGAGATGTGCCTGAAATATGAATTCAAATCTAGATCTTTCCTAGTGCTCGTTTCAGGAATTTAGTTTAGCCCATGGGACATACATGCGCCTTGCTGTCATGGTCCAGATCTGTATAAAGATCCAAACGTTTGGTGATTTGGGGGTTTCATGTTCTTATATCTGTCATTGCTAAGTTTAATGATTGGGGAGAGAAAGTGGTTCATAATTACATATATGTGGAACCTCCCAACACCACAAAAAAGGCAGAGACCTGTGTGGAAATGTACAAATGTCGCTATGCAGAGCAAAAACTGACTTGAACCGGCAGTTCTGCTCCATGCAGCAGAAGGCAGCTCATCCCATCTACATGTTTAACAGTTTTGTCAATACTCAGGTGACAATGCAGCGAACGTTGCTGAAGGGATGTGTCTGAGCGAGTGCAGAGGAGTGTGATAGATGCACATCTTGAGAATGGATTTCATACACATAGTTTATGCCTGTCAACAACTTTCTTCCCTTTTCTACAAAAGCCAGGAGAACCCCAATTTTCCCTTTTTCTCTTCCAGGGCAACCTTTCGACCCTCATTTTAAAATTAACAATGCTGTATCCAACATTATCTGTTCCATCACATTCGGGGACCGGTTTGAATATCATGACAGTCAGTTCCAGAAGTTACTGCGACTGATTGATGAGAATTTCTATCTCCAGGGAAGTATTTGGAACCAGGTAGATCTTATTTGATTTAGCCTTTAACCACATGAACTCAATGGCCACACTCCCAGTAGTTTCAGTGCCAGAGTCCTGTTGGTCCAAAATTAACTGTGACATTATCCTGCCTAAGGCATCTTTGCTGTCCTATTTCCCAACAAATCTCTTTCCACCTCAGTTTCCCCTCTATCTATTCTCTTCCACCATGTCCCCCTGAAGGTAATCCTGCCAGATCCTCTAGTCTGAATTTTCGGTACCAGTGCCCCCTCCCACCATGCACAGAGTGCGATGTCTAATGGGGATGAAGACTCAGTAGCCTGTTTTAGTGATCATCAGCGAGGTGTGCCTAGGAGCAAGGAAGGCGAAAGGGTCACAAACCCTCACTGTTCCCAAGCAACACCCTTCCTGGCTGTCTCCCAGTGCCTTGGACTCTGCTCGGGGAGAGATATCTCAAAGACTTGTGTGGCGCCGTAGATTTTCTGGATACTTTTGCGGCAGTGGGGGTGGCAGGGTGTCTTTGTGCAACAGGCCAGGTGAAAGATGACCCTGGAGGCAGAGTCGATCTTCCATCAAAGTCAGGGGCTTACCTAGCTAGCAGCTCCTTCAGGTGGCCCCATTTGCAGGGACAAAGCACTGTGTTTCATAATGATGCAGGATCACTGAGATAGACGAAAAACCCAGGTTTCCAGGGACACGTTACCCAAATGAGGTTGGACCTTTCTCCTCTTGGTGCCTCTCAGTTCAGCACCGAAGAGTGACGGGGCTGAGACATAACCCTGCCAGGACAGCAGCATTCATGTGCCTGTGTCCATCTTCTCATGGTGCTGCGCCTGGGAAGTTTCCCATGTGTTTTACCAACCCTTCAATACCAAAGTCCAACCTCTAATAAAAATTGCGGTAACATCAATAGTATCAACATCATGTGTCGGCATATGAGGCCAGGTTTTGGGGTAATGACCTTTTTGTATTTTTCCTGGCGTTTCAATCAACAAATCATTAACAAGGTGGTCTCCTCCCTTCTGAAGTGACTACTATCGCATAGCCTCAGGCAATACAGCACATGATCCGGTGGGGTAGAGGTGGGCAAGATATGTCCTGCGGGCTGCTTCCAGCCCACTCAGCCATGGGACCCAGCGTGCGGACCCCCCTGCCGGGATGCTCAGTCACACAGCAGTTGCTATTTGACGTGCAGAACTATTTCTTGTGGCTCTCTGCTCTGAAGGAAGGGGGAGGTTTTGTGTGATCTCCCCACCCCCACCCAATCATCACCTTCTATTGGGAGGAAACAACTAGTCAATAGAAAAAGAGAGAGAATCGCCTGGGAAATGGGGGCAGCCAACCCTCTCCCCTCTTCTGGAGCTGAGAGCGACATGGAGAGAGTAGCCTGCAGTTTTAAGTGAACTGGAGCTGCAGCAGGCAGGCATCCCAGCATGCCTGGGAGATGCTGCAGGGCTGCTGGCTGGGAGACACTTAGGTAATCACCTCCCCGCCCACACCCCACA